TTAAAATTGTTATGGATAACATAAGGAAATTGCGCTTAAATTGTCACTAGACTTGTTTTTTACAAGGACTTACACAATATGCTGTGTTGAATTTCTTGCTTTTTACAAGCTTTTATTTAACTCACTTCCTCTGTCGTCAGTCGTCAGTCTGTCTAGATCGAAACGCTGGAGTGAAAATTCGGACACTTCTACTAGACCGATACGACTCACACTTGGCACGTGGGTCAAGACATGAAGACAATGCAATCTGAAATTAAATTTAACTTAATTGGATGCCTAATTAATTTTTAATGAATTAATTAAAATTTGGAACCGAATTAATAGGCATGTCTATCCAACCACACCACACGCGTCATCACGTTCAATAGCTGCGCCATCACGTTTAATGGCTGCGCCATCACGTTCAGTAGGCGCGCAATGGTTTTTAGTCATGTAACTCTATTGTAAATAAAACATGTAAAGTACTGAAATTTTTTTTTTATAAAAAACGTTTTAATAACAAGCTTTTATGTACTAATGCACTAAAAAGTAGAAAATAAATTATACACGGCAGTGGCGTAGGCAGGGGGGGGGTTAGGGGGGGTCATAACCCCCCCCCCCCATAGACCCCTCGGTATATATAAAAAGTATGAGGGGGGGTGCAAATCGAAAGTTTGAGGGGGGGTGCAAATCGAAAGTTTGAGGGGGGGGGGGGTTGCAAATCGAAAGTTTGAGGGGGGGGGGGGGGGCAAATCGAAAGTTTGAGGGGGGGGGGTGCAAATCGAAAGTTTGAGGGGGGGGGGTTGCAAATCGAAAGTTTGAGGGGGGGGTGCAAATCCGAAAGTTTGTCCCCGGGTAAAAATTGGAACCCCCCCCTTGAGACGATCCTGGCTACGCCACTGATACACGGGTCACTTTAGTACCTATTGGATACCTTTACTCATCATTATTTTGAGAAGAGACCCACGCTTTTCTTTATAGTAATTTAAATAGTGTATAATTTATTTTCTACTTTTTAGTGCATTAGTCATTAGTACATAAAAGCTTGTTATTAAAAACGTTTTTTTATGAATTTTTTGTAATGTGTGTATATTTTGTGTTGTATTTGGTTTGTGTGTGTGATACATTGTTTTGTGTGTCGGCCTACATGGTGTTATGTTCTTTTTTTACAAGCTTTTTTAATAGCTGCGCCATCACGTTCAATAGACGCGCAATGGTTTTTAGTCATGTAACCACTATTGTAAATAAAACATGTAAAGTACTGGGAAAATAATTAATAAAAAAACGTTTTAATAACAAGCTTTTATGTAATATGAAAATAAATTATAGACTACTATTTAAATAATTAGAAAGAAAAGCGCGGGTGTCTTCCTCAACATTAGTAAAGGTATCCAATAGATACTAAAGTGACCCACGCTTTTCTTTATAGTTATTTAAATAGTAGTCTATAATTTATTTTCTACTTTTTAGTGCATCATTACATAAAAGCTTGTTATTAAAACGTTTTTTTATGAATTTTTTTTTTTCTCGTTCAGCGTAATCTTCTTCTTCGTTCTTAATTTTTAGTGTTGGAAGGGATCGAGCATTGTCTGCCAGAGGGTTTTAACTCGAGACTTTCGAATTTATCAACCATGAGCTTTTGCCGACGCGACCACGCCTCCATCACAATTAAGGATACGTAGTATTTCTTCCAGACTTTTTTCTCCGGGGGGGGGGGGGGGGCATTTGAAATTTTCGGGGGGTGGGCGGTAGACTTTCTTCCCCCCGAAGAGATGCCTAGAAGAAACTCTGAGGATACGTGTCAACTGGTTATGCACCATTGACTCCTATTTCAGCCTGCTTTCTTTTTTTTGGATTTGCTTCCATAGCCTTTGTCTAACTAAGAACAAACTACAAGGCAGCAGGTGTTTGAATTTGGAGTTGTCTCTCCTAGAAGAGTGGCTGTACCCAGCTAATGAGTCTCATCTGCCCGAAGACTTTTCGGTTTAGCAACCATGAGCTTTACCGACTCGACCACGCCGACCCACTTCCGGTTATCGGAAATAACTGAAAAGTTAATACAGAACTACAGATTTGATATAATACTTAAATCTAGATCTATATGCAGAATTTCTTCCAGGCATCGCTACTCAAGTTCTCGTGTATATGTTACGGTCAAAGCCCGAAGTGTGGCCAAACCCCGGATTGGCCGGCCAATGCGCGGATTGGCCGGCTCTCTTGGCCAAAGCCCGAAGAACTTCGAACTAAGATCGTATTTCGTACATTGGCCGGCCAATGCGCGCACTGGCCGGGACGTACTGGCCAAAGTCCGAAGTGCTTAAACTTGACGTCGTATTTTGTACATTGGCCGGCCAATGCGCGCATTGGCCGGGATGTCCTGGCCAATGTTGTATCTAGACTAAGTAGTGATTGCGTTTTCATTATTCTGGGTGCGGTTTCATTGTGAGTAACGTATTGTTTAGCTCCAACCCATTTTGGCGCCCCCTAAGGTCGGCGCCCGGGGACATATGTCCCCCCCCCCCCGCCCCCCTCGCTACGCTACTGGTTGCCATAAATGCAACTACATCCTCAGCTAACACAAAACATCTGTTGCCGTGGCGGAACGTCCAGACCAGTTGCGTGACAATAATGTTTTTCAATTCTTCACGAAAAAACTGCTCTTATTGTCGTCAGTTGGCACTGAGGATAAATCACTACGAACCATCGCATCTTCACAATCATTGACAGGGGGCCAAGGCTAAACTCGCTGCAATTGCACAACCAAGTGCACAACAAATCGCTGCAAGTGTAAAAATAACAAGCTGCTATGTAATTCTAAATGCCATAAAAATTCAACTTGTTGTAACAAATGATAATATTGATTGATTGAGACTATAGTACAATAAAATATTTGAATGTTTCTGTCATTTACTGAATAATCAATAAAGACTTAATTTCATGATCCTTACGGTATAAAAAAAAAACCCAAATCTGCTCATGAGCTTTTAAATCGGACTTTGGCCGGTCGTCCCTAGCCAGATGATCTTGTAATAAAGACTTTGGCCGGTCCACCATGGCCAGTCTGCGGATTGGCCGGCCAAAGGCCGAAATCAAGAGCTATTTCAGACTTTGGCCGGTCCACCATGGCCAGTCTGCGGATTGGCCGGCCAAAGGCCGAAATCAAGTAAAGTTTCGGACTTTGACCGACCTATGGGAGGCGATATTGGCCAATGCGCGGATTGGCCGGCCAATCCTAGCATTGGCCGACTTCGGGCTTTGACCGTAACATATACACATGCACAGCATACACAGTACTCAGACATACAGACAGAAAGTCCAGTTTTTCCGACTGGATTACCCATAAAACGTCAAAATTTTGATATATCTGGATTTGTAATTTTTGTCCGATTAAAATAAGTCCTCTATACTCCGGGTGTGATGAAGGACTGATGTGTAAAGTGGTTAAAACTGTCAAAATGTCATGTGAATTTTTGTGCACGATTACAATACTTTCTGCATACTCTGTATCTACGAAAAAGTTAAAAGAACAATGAAATACAAAGAACCGGAAACGGATGTGCATTATCCGCCATTTGTAAAAATATTTTTTTTTCTGATTAAAAAAATGCACAATTAAAAATATTTTTTTTTCTAGATTTCTAGATCTAGATTTAGTCTTAGATCTAATATAGATCTAGAATTCAAGGCCCTACCCATCATATTGAAAACTGGGTGATTATTTTATTCGCTAGTTCTACTGTCTAGACTAGAAATCTAGATCTAGAATCTAGATCTAGATTCTAGCTGCTAGACTAGAGTTCTAGAGTCTAGACTCTAGATCTAGATCTAGATCTCTACTAGATCTAGATCTAGACGTAAATCTACTAGACTTCTAGATCTTAGTAACTAGATTCTAGATCTAGTCTTTATTTTGTGTACTACAGTCACAGTGTAGAAAGCGAGATCTAGAATCTAGACCTAGATTCTATAAACTTATAAATAAACAATATTGAATCAATAAGATATTCTAGAATCAAAGTTTAGTGTATAAAATATAAAATTAGGCCTAAATCTAGATCTAGAATCTAGATCAGTTGTTGATCTAGATCTAAGTCTAGATCTACCTGTTACCTAACTTGACTTGAGTTTAGTAGTTTAGTCTCTAGATCTAGAATCTAGAATCTATATCATCATCATAGTCATACAAAAAACTGCCCAGAGCTCTTGACTGATTTTTCAAAACTTTCCTTTTACCACTGTCTCTTACCTATTACTTATTAATTTAAAAAGTTTGGGAACCACTGCTGATTTAGATTAGGCTATATACTCTAAATCTGTGGTTCCCAAACTTTTTCAAGTGGCGACCCCCCTTTTATAAAAAGTAAGTGACCCGCGACCCCCCCCCCCCCCCACAGAATTAAAAAGTCAAAAATTAGTAGGCCTAAGGAAATTAATAAGATTTTTAGTAGGCTAGACATTAAAATAATAATTACTATTGATAGCCTTCCTGTTTTAATGGGATGAGTGAAATTAACAAGCCTCAACATTCGCGGTTCATTTTTGTTTTATTTCTTTTGGGTGTAGCGAGATTTCTGGTTGTTTTTTCTTTCCCCCAATTTTTGCCAGCTGGTCCGCAATTTCATTTCCCTACTTTCGTTTATGATTTAGGTGAACAAAATTATCGTCTGTCAAATTTTGAGTGATTTACTGTGTCAGGAAGTTAAGTAATACTTAATGGTATTTGTGATATGTATGTTTCAAGCGGGTAAAGACTTAATGACAATGAACTTTGACATTAAATGTGACTTAATTAGATGTTTAATTTAACTTTTTAAAAATGAATCAATGTTTTTTTATAAAATACTAATATTCCGCTTAATTGTTATTTCGATTTCAGTAACAACATCATTCTTAGTTTTCAATATGATACGCTTAACAGTTCTTCTAATTCAAGAACGTAAACAATTTATTTACTGATAAACTTAACTAGAACTAAAGATTTCTTTATTGGGGAAAAAGCAACAAGTAATTTGTTTTAAACAAAACGAGTATAAAAACAATGAATAATTGAGGTTTTTTTACTGAGTAGTTAGGTGGCGCCTAAGATTTTACACTTCATTATTGTTCAAGATTACTTAACAGTTAAAAACTAAATTTATTTACCTTTAATTTTATACCAATTGTAGTTATCAAAATTAATACAAATCCTAGAAAACGATTTTTGAAAAATGGCTACGATGCTATGACTGAACGATGGGTTAGTTTTTAAGGAGTGTTGTTGTGACGCATTTGACTGTTCAGTAGAAAAGTATAATCTGCTAGATTTCGTCCCATTCAAATTCATGACGGAAAAATGGGCAAGCTTAATTTGTTGTTGTGTTAAATGTTTTATATTGTATTTTTTTTCACCCTACATAATTTTTTTCAATTAATAAAACATTGGTTTAGTAAGACATAATATATAATTTTCTCTCTAATATAAGTTAATATAACAGATTTGAGTGTTTTCAAAATAGTATTAAATATGGTAATTAACGTTTTTATTACCTTATGTTCAGCTAGATATTCTCAACTATTAAGCCAAAAAAAAGTACAAAAAGCAAGTTTACAACAATCACTAATTGTCAATTGTTAAAACTAGATCAGTCTTGTTGAATAAAAGGCAAAAAATGACAATTACAATTATGTGTTGTTGAAATGACAATCAAACATAGCTAAAACAAGAAATCCAGGTATTGTTGTTTTCTGCAGACATCATTACCATAAGGACGTTAAAAAAAGTAGGTTAAGCGACAGGCTAATTTCAGGCCGATTATATTTAAATCTTATTTACTTTGCAATGGAATTTGTTAAATTTGGGATATAAATTGAATTAAAATAATATTTGGCGTAATTTTACTTTCTTACGGAGACTAAGTAAAATAACTAGAAATATTTTCTCTAAAATTCATCTAGCAGCCTAGCAGAGTCGACAGCATGTTAGACATTCTTTTTAAGCTGCAGGTCTGAAACCTATGCAGTTATAATACATTTTTTTTATATGTTATAAATGTTTTAAATATTTTAAATTATTATTTGTTATAGCTATTGTAATACGATCTGAGTCCCACCAATATTAACAATTTTTGTTAAAATACGTTTGACAGGTCAAGACTAAAGAGATTAATGTTTGTATTTATTATACTATTTACTGATGAATGCATAGACATTTAAGAAAAAAAATTTGTCAGCAAAGAAAAAAAGAAAGAAAAAAATACTAATAAATAACCAGGTTTTTAACAGAATTATTTAAAGCAGTGAGTCTGTGTATATAATAAAGTAATAAGGTGCTTTAGTGATTAATATATATAAATATAACATATTGAAACAATAATTATATTTTTCAATTTTAATATTATTTTTCATTTAAGTTACTTTTTTTCTTTAGGTGCACTGGTTTAGAGCTTCACAGCTAAAAGAGGCAAAAATTTAGTTATAATGGCTGAAAATATAGGACACCATTCTACAGATAGCAAAACCCATCATTACAGCAATAGTATGCTAAGTTCATTTTCACTTCACTCAAGAGTTGAGTCATTACTGAACAAAGGTGTTAGTCATAGTCAGCAGCACATCATGAGACCAGACATTCAGCATGAGTTAGACATTGTGAATCAGAGTTTGAGTGTTTGTCTTGATAGCAACAATGGCAATAACAAACATACACAATTGGATCATGAACACATAAATGAACCATCTACAAGTGTTGGGGTTTCTTTTCAGCCTGTAAAAATTTCATCATTACATAGAAATGAAGGACTTATCCATAAAAACACTAGTCACAACCAACATGTTCTTCGAAATGATTTGAGGCATGATTTGGATATTGTAAACCAAAGTCTTGCATCTTGCGTAGAAGACAAAAATAGCAATAACAAGCAAAGAATGAATCCTCAAATGGATAATGACCACATAAATGAGTCATCTACAAGTGGGAATAGTCCTTTTCATTCAGTTAAACCATCTTCTAATCAGGATATGGCAGATTATTTTATGTATACAGGAAATAATGCCAAGATAAATGTTGAGGCTCTTTATAGTAGTAGAGGTAATGAGTTTACTCTTGAGAAAGAACAACTTAACAAAAATATATCCACGGATGACGATGGTCCACTCTATAATTCAGAGGTTTTCAAAAGTAGTATTTCAACACCAAATCTACAGGATGATGTCACTCTAGAAAAAATTTTCAAATGTGAATTGTGTAGCAAAATATTTAGCAACAGCTTTTTCTTGAGGCAGCACACTTTGTTTCATACTGGTGATAAGCAGTTTGTATGTGGAACTTGCGGCCATAAATGTTTTTATAAGAGCCAATTGAAAGAGCATGAACGCACTCATACTGGAGAAAAACCTCACAAATGTCATATTTGTGAGACTGGTTTTGCTAGAAAAGATGCTTTGAAAAGACATTTGAGATCGCACATGGATGAAAAACCGTACAAGTGTGATGTATGTGAAAAAGAGTTCAAGCATAAACCTTATCTACAGATTCATAAAAAAACTCATACTGGAGAAAGACCTCATAAATGTGAAATATGTGAAAAGATGTTCTCACGAATCGAAAGCTTAAAACGACACCGTATTTCCCATATCAAAGATAAAGCCTATCCTTGTAATTACTGTGACAAAAGCTTTAAATGTCTCACCTACTTACATAATCATACTCAAAATCACACTGGACAAAAGCTATATGGTTGTGATTTGTGTGAAAAAAAATTCAAATACCCAGCTCTTCTTAAAAAACACAAAATGAAACACACAGGAGAAAGACCATTTCGCTGTGACTTATGTGATAAAGGTTATTTTACTGCAACTGAACTTAAAATACATAAAATGAATCATGCTGCAACAGATCCACCATTTCATTGTGATTTTTGTGGCAAAGGTTTTCATATGAATGACTTGTTTCAAGCTCATGTGAGAACTCATGCAGGTGATCGTCTAAAATGCCGATATTGTGAAAGTACTTTCACTCAACAATCTGCTTTATTGTCCCATGAAAGAATGCATACAGGAGATAAGCCATACGTTTGTAATACTTGTGGATTAACATATACACAATTGGCCTCCTACAATGCCCATATACAGACTCACATTGGAGAAATGCCATATAAATGTGAACCTTGTGGACGAAGGTACCAGCATTATGCAAGTTTTCGATATCACCAAAATGTTTGTGCATTTTATAATCCTCCTGTACCAAAACAAAATCCAGAGCAGTGTTAGCCCATGCTATGTGTGTGTGTGTGTATATATATATATATATATTCACTTCATTTGTATTATATTTATAGTTGCTGCTTTTTAAAATGAAGTTCATAAACGACCTGAAATTTGTGTCAACTTTATAAAACAATTTATTATTACTTCAACCTAAGGCCATTGATCAAATCATCAACTCTGCCTTTTAATTTGAGTTTTAAACACAGCTAAGTATGAAGCTTCTTTCAGGTACAAATGTGTAGCTATAAATAATTTATACAATACAATATCTGACTTTCAATGACTTTTATAAAAAGTTTTAATGTCAGCCCTGAGTGCAGTAGAATTGTTCTTGAATTGTAAAAAATTCCTGTAATGCAGAAAAATATTTTGCCCTAGTGTACTATTAGGTTTGATTTCAAGAAGGCATACAAACCCTAATAGTTAACTTATAAAATTATTATCCATTAATTAGTCTTTTTGCAGAAATGCATACCCAAAAATTATTTTATTTGGGTATGCTTGGGTGTAGCAGACCTGTAGGCATATGCTATATCAAAATGGTTCACACATACTGTTTGCAATAGCAGTCGGAAATCATTAACATTTAGTCAATTAGCTGCTACAAGAAAATCTTAATAATTAACTATCAGTTATGTATTTTTTGTATAGGCTTGCAACTTCTGTTTAACATTATGGTTTTAGAGATTTCATTTTTGGTTAATCAGGAAAATTCACTAGGCTACTTCACTGTTGGTATCACAGCCGTGATGCTGAAGTTATTATTAAAAATAATAAATATGTAGTTAGTTTATTGAAGTGCATAAAATAACATTAAGGTGTCATCAAATAATAACGCCACAAGTAATTTGAATTTTTCCCAGTGGATCTGGTATTTAAAGTTAAAACTTTATGTACCTGCTTCTGTCCGATAATGCAGTCCCATTCTTTCTCTCTCCCTCTTATTGAGTTTTTTTTTTATGTAATAAGTTTTTTCCATTTGTATCACTAGCGTACTTTTTGAGCGTTGCTGTGATCTTGTTTGATACCATAGAGTGATACAACATTTTATTAGGGATTCAGCGCATTAACAATTTTTTATTTTTATGTGTGTCTTTGTTTTCAAAACTGAGTTACTTAAAATGAAAGCAATGCTGGTGCTATATTTCTTGAATTAAATGTTAGTTGTTGGGCTACACTAATACCCAGATGCCCCATGGCCTTGAGTGTACTTTAATCACCCTTTCAAATAGTGTGATAGAACACCCCTATGTAAAAAAGCCAGATGTTTGGGGTATTGCATGGCACTCTTATGAGTTACTAGTTACACTACAGCAAGTGCCGGCGCCAGGTCATTTAGCACCCTAGGCAAAACTTTGTTCAACGCCCCCCCCCCCCCCCCCCCCACAATCAAATAATCCACTGAATCATGTTCTAAATTAAAAGAATTACATTAATAAATACAATAATTATCTTATTATATCAACAGAGGTGTGGCTAGGGGAGGGCGGATAGAGCTGCTGCAACAGGCAATCCCAAGGGGCGCTAATAATACATAGATAGGTAGATAATAATATAAAAAGCTAATTACTGTATTATATACAGTTGAAATTAAGAATGTTGACTGCTACCTGGCATTACGGTCTTAATTGTTTTCTACATCAATTTCATCAATAATGTGACACCAAAATAAAAAGGCAAAGTGACTGGTACCCCCCCCCCCCCTCAGTCCTTTCCAAATTAGGGTGGGGGGCGTATAATTTTCAATAACAAGAATAACTTTATATAGGCCTAATTTGAAGATGGGGCGCAAAATTGATAGCTCGTCCTGGACAACAAAATAAATTGCTGCGCTTTTTTATATTACCCTGTCTATAGTTTATATAATATAAAATTGATTATTACTTTTTAATTATGGCAATTACACATTTTTGCGCCCCTCAATGGATAGCGCCCTAGGTGACCGCCTAGTTTGCCTTATAGGTAGCACCAACCTTGACTACAGCACTGTTAGTGTTATCAGCAAATGTAGAGGCCCAATGTGTCCTTAGTGAAGGATGCTCTTTAAAGTAACTGTAGTAAAGTAGCTGTTGGGGAACTCAAAAAAAACATACACAGACATCTTTCATTTTTGTATGTAAATAAGGTCTCAGGTTTCACAAACCCACTATTTCTTCATTATAGCTAGCTTATAGCAAAGAATATAAAAATATAATTGTAATGTAAAATTAGATTCCATGATTTAATTACCCCTGAACTAAATATTTTTAGGTCAAATTTAATAAGTGGACGCCCCCATAGACCCTTTCCTAACCCCCTTTTTCTCTTCCCCCCACCCACCACAAAGTAAGAGTGGATGGAAATAATAAAATTTATGGATGACCACTAAAGGTAAATCACATTAAATTCTACTATTATAAGGAACAGAATACTTTTTATTTTTAAACACAAATTTATTAATACATTTTGTGATAAAAAATTATTTTTAAATGTTTAGTTGTGTGATAAAATGTTACTTTCTTGCTTGATAATTAGATCTAGTTTATTGGCTTTAATTCTACACATCCTACCATTTAATAAAAGTGCATAAAATAATGTCATCAATTTTATGTGTTATTTAGGCAAAAAAAGTTGCCCAAAAACTCTTAATAGCTTTTTGAATTTTGTCTTAAATTAAGTTAAATGCCATTTCTTTAATTTTAGAGTTAAGGTTATTACAGTGGTGCTATTAAGTGGTATTGAATCAATTTTACAGCTATTTCTTGGATCCATTTTGACTTTCTAAAACAAAATTATGGCAGTGTACAGATTGTTGAAAAACAAGCTTAAAGCTTGCCACAAAAAAGTTCCGTTTTAAAACCTGATGTTTCATGGGGCAAGTCGAGTTTACATGTTTCTGTGACTTATCAAGGCACAGTGTAGTCAGCACTACAGCCCAGTCACCCTTCTCAAAATTTGGGAGCTGGGTGAGCTCAAGGACGTTCTACTGACTTGAATCTGGACTCAGGGTTAGCGTGGCCACACCATCCCTTACCATACAAAATGATTTATTAAATAATAATATCAATAAAGCAAGAACTGTTTACTTTAGCCAAGTTATTAGACTAACCCCAGTTCATGTTTACCCCCTGTAATAGATCTTAATGTACTACATAATTAGAATGATGAGGCTAGATTGTATTCATGGCTGTTGACATCATAGGGTACCTTATGTTCATGTATAGTTATACTCAAATACTAATTACTTTTATAATTTTTTAGGTCTCAAATGAAAATATTTAGGTCAGTTTTGTTGTTTTCCTGACATGTCAGTTTACCAGTCTTTGAAATAAGTTTTATTTTACATTAATATGTAGTTTTCACAATTTATATCTAAAATGCATGTTAACTTCTTAAACTTAAATACTCAATAAAATTTGCATGCAGATTAACATTTAATTAAAATTTAACTTGTTTTATAGCTTTGACGTTTGTCTAATTTAAAAGTTGTATACCTCATTTATAATTGCTAGCATTGACAGCATTTAACTACAATGATTTTTATTATTTTATATGCTCACATTATTTTTTTATTTTTAGATAATTTAATTATCCTTTTGTATGCTTGAGGCATAAATCACAAATATGGTTTAATTTTATTGATACTGTTAGAGTAAGTTTTAATTTAAGATAATTATTGTAGGCCTGCATGAATTCTTTTTGTATTTAGACAAAAATTTGAATAATTAGTTACTTTTTATTGCTGATATCAGGAATGATTCAAAATACTTGGGATTGTGCACATAGTTTATACTTTATAATATGAAAGTTAGGTCTGTTATAAATCTTACTATTTCTTACAAAATTTCTGCTTTACTTTAAAACCAGGGGCGGAACTACAGTCCCGCCAGACCCTGCAATGCTGGGGGGGGGGGGGGGGACATTTTGGGGCCCATAGCTGACCATAATAAATTTTTTATAGTTAAAAAAATAATTTTCTTGCATTTTTGACTTGACGTTAAAAGCTTTTGTAAATAACAAGCAGATCTACTATAGTAATGATGTTATACAGTAGCTAACACATGCTGTTGTGTAAAAACAAATATATGCCTGAGCTGTAGTGTGAAAGATAGGCAAACGTTCAAAACACGTCCATGACTTATTTCCCTTTTTTAAATAGTTAAATAGGGGCGCTCCTAAGCTCGTTTTAATATATTTTTACTAAACAAATTAAAAAGCAATAACTTCTCTTAAAAAGGAAATATATTTGAAACAAATAATATAAATACAAAAAACATAAAAATAAACATACAAAGCTTTCACATTTTATATTCTTTTGACTGGCTAAAAACTAGCGGGTAAGCAGTATTACAGCAAACATTTTGAATAGACTAATTCTAAATCTTTAAAAAAAAAAATTCAATACAGACTAATTCACTCACACACATGACATGTTGTAATTTGTTTAAATTGAAAAAAAAAAAAATTTCAAAACCCAATCAGGCTAGAATTGAGCATCCAATGTTTGTATTATGTGTTCATATTTATATATATATATATAGGGGAGGGGCCCAGAATTTATTTTTGCGGGGTGGCCCTTTTTTTCTAGTTCCGCCACTGTTCAAAACACTTTTCCTGTTAGTGTCTTGTCAAGCATCAAAAGAAGGAACTGTATATATTATAGGTCTAATTATTAAAAAACATTTGTGAGCAGCAACACTAGTTACACCAATAAAAAAACAAGTTGCTAATGTTTTAGTGCTAATTTTTATTTAGTTACTGCTGTAAATGAAAAATGTTCAAAAGATTTGACTTTTTGTAGTTTAGTGTTCTGTAGTCCAAATAGTAAGCAGGTAATTCCCCATACAATTGATATGTAGTAAATCAATATGTTCTGTTTATGTGTTTTTACTTATGTGCATGATCCCTGGTGTCTGTAGAGTGTATATAGTTCATACATAAATTCATTGAATGTAAGAGCTAAATCTTGTTTCAGAAGTTGCAATGTTTTGTACTGTATTTTTGTATTTATATTTAATGGTAACAATGCATTTTACCCATAAACAAAACTGTCATACATCTCACTGTGATTTGACTAATGTGATGTAGGGTATGAGTCTGTTGTTTTTTTTTTTTTATGTCTGTTTTCAACACATATTCTTCCTTATGCAATTATACCGTTTTTTCACTTTAGGTGCAATAATGTTGCTTCTTTTTCTTAAATTTTATTTTTTTCTTAATTCAGTGAATGAAATTAATTAGGGACTGTCATATTTTCTGTTGGTCAATGTAGTTCAGAAATTTTCTTTTTCATATGTCCTATTATTACCTGAGGTTTTTATTTTTTTTTGAATAGTTATTGGTGATTATCATAACAATTGCATTAATACTTTATCCTTTTATTTATTTCGATAATTGCAAAAAAAAAATTATAATAATAATTAATTTATATATGGTATGTGTAAGGCTTTGTACAATAAAGCTATAAAAAAATAACCCATCTGTTTTCTCTTTAATAGGGTGTTGCAGTAATACTTTGCTATATAACATGCTATTTTTCAAAAAATTATAAAAATTAATTGGCAAGCGCTAAAATTATGTTTTAGCTGTCAAAAATTACAACAAAATATTAAGTATCGATTTTTACGTGTTTTGAATTTTTAAATTCAAGATAAAGTATTGAAAATAATTTTTTGAAATAATTAATAATATTAATTCATTAATCCATTCCAAGTTTTGGAAAAACTTCCGCCAGGGAGAGATTAAATTTTCCAAACTAAATGAATTTTTGTGATGATGATTCCCATTGATAAAAAAAACATGGCGGCTGCTTGTTTCTTGACTTCGCTTCAACATTTTAAACTCATCATGAACTCCCAATATGCAACAAATATACAAAATTTCAAGTCTATTGTGTACGTACGGTTGGGAAGTAATGTATTTGCATTCAATTTTGACAGAAAAGTTTTGTGGCGGTAAGTAAATTAATTATTTTTTAAAGTTAATGTAAGACCTATCAAGCCTAGCCCCAAGGGACATTACTCTTACTGAACGATTTGGTAAACAGTAAACACTTGTCTAGTTCGATGACAGAATATTACAAAAAATAAATCTAAAATAGTAAAATCTAGATCTAAATCTACCTGATCCTAAATATATAATATCTGTAGGCCTATATCTAATTTATTACTTTATTAACTATATACTGATCCCTCTAAATAAAAAGTGACAGTACAGTGATTAGATTTAGAATCTTCTAGATCTAGCTATCTAGATTGAATTCTATTCTAGATCTAGATTTTAGATTCTAGTATGTGTTTGTAGAGTAGAGAGTTAGTTGTAAGTTATCTAATCTATCTAGTTACTCTAGTCTAGTACTACCTACCTATCTCAGTCT